ATCTGCGTGTATTTGTTGACAACGCTGTCTCCAAAAATTGTGCATAATATATTCCTGTTGCTAAATAAATAAAATAGAGCTTTTTAAGTGAGGAAGACTTAAAAGTTTCCCAAACCTAATCTTTCTGTTATAGCTAAGTATAAGTACGTATTAGGAGTATCTCTCACGGTAAGAAAGGACCGATAGGAAGATAGACACAGTAAGACTGGTATGCAGTGTTGCAGCCCATGCTGAATTGCAAAATTTGCACTGTTGTGTTCATGCATGGATCAAAACCTCTGATTTCAACAATGCTTCATTGCCAGCTGGCTGCAGTTCTGCTCCTCAAAGGCTGGACTGTATTAGCTTAGCTTCTTGGCCCCACACACATGTCCAACTTCCCCTCACCTCAGTTTTACTCAGTTGTTTCCTACAGATAACACCTACAACTTTCAAAAGCAGGTAGTCTCAGTTGTTTATAAGTAATTCTTCTAATTGACAGATCTTTAGATTCTATGCTTGACATATTTGCTCCTGCAAAACCCTTGGCAAACCTCAGGTAGGAGGTTTCTAATGCTTTCAGCTTCAAGAATGACCTGCCTGCAGCCTACCCATGATAAGGGGCTGTGAAACTGTGATAGCATGCTTCCCCAGACAATTGCCATTCTGACCACTAGCTCCATGTGTCACTGAGCCTTTCTGTTCACAGAGCTTATCAGGGTTGTGGTTTCCCTCATACCGGGTCTGTGCTGACGTGAATTCAAGGACTGATTGATAACTGGTACTGCGTGAATGATATATGTGGCCGCCCTCATCAGGTTGCTGATCTCATTTATTAATTTTCTAGACAGAGAAGATAATGTTGCATTAAGTTACCTTTGCCAGAGAAAGTTAAATGAATAGGAAAAGGTTACTTGTAATATTGACGTGCAAACTGAAGTAGCAAAAGGCCATCATGCAGTAATGTTGAAGTCAAGGAAACAGTGTTATGACTCAGATGAATTAATACTTTGTTTCAATAACATCGGTTGTGTTGAACAAAGGAGCAAAAAGCAGTAGATAAAAGGCACCTACAAGGAAACATACACATCCAAACTCAAAGTAAAACATAGTACAGTTTATGTGCTCATGCTAAAACAAACAGTAAGCTATTCTTCAGAGAACAAATAACTGGCACCTGAAACTGTGATACAGCAAGGAATTAAAATCTTAAAACATATATAAGCCAAGAATAGTGTTTTCAGACAGAGGAAAGAAAAAATACAAATGTTTTGTTTAAGGGAAAAAACAAAACAAAACAAAACTTTGATAATATACAGGACTTCAGAATGATTGAAAGAAAGAGTAAATAATTGTTAAAAGTACCTGAGCTACAAAACATCCAGTATAATCTAACTTAAAAATATAATTGGTATTCTAGACTCTGTGACTGCTGTACACTATTTTAAGACCTCTTGGGGAGATACTTGCAAAGACAAAAGAATTCAGGAGGCAGTATAAAACACTTTTGAAGTAAGCAAAGGATTTCATAATTAGAGCAATTAGTCTACTGACAAGAGAAGTCAGAGATGATAGAGAGGTTGCACCTAGATTTTTTTTATTATTATTTGTTAGAGACATGTAAAATAAGTGTGTGGAATTTGTTTATTTGTTTTGCGTTTGTTTGTTTGTTTGTTTGTTTGTTTTTGCTTTTTCCTTGAATTACATATATAAATTTACAGCATCAGCAGCAGGAAATAAAATGGTAGATGCATGCTAACAAAATTTGCTGATGGCAGAACCTGAGAAGCATTGACAACATAAAGGTGGAACTGGAATGTCATACAGTGGTGTCCAACACTGATAAATGAAGTAATAAAAATGGGAAAGATGTAATAGAAAATGCAGAGTCATGCCTCTGGAGACTAATGAGAACATCTGTTAAACCATAGCATGTTGTAAGGTAGAAATGAAGGAGAGAGGAAAATTCAATGCTTAGTATTCAGTGTTTGACTGTTTTTGAGTTACCATTGTGATACAGATGAGGAAAGGGTGTGTGCAATTCTGGGCATTGAAAGGGAAGAAGGGAAGTTTTAAGGTTGTTGTACAAAACACTGGTCAGATCTTTGGAGGATTGCTTAAAATTCTGTCCACCACCCCTGAGAAGAGATCAGTTTCCAAGCAGAACTGATGAAGAAAGTATGTACTAGAATAAAAAGAGAATGGAAAGCTTGTCTCCTGGGACAGTACTAAAAGAACTTGTCTTGGTATCATAGAAAAACAAAGACTGAAAGTAGATACAGTGTATTTTCTGTACTCTGAAGAGGGGATAAGGACTAGAAAGGAAAGCTTTTGAAGCTTAAAGGACAGAACTGATTTAAAAGCAAATGAATATAAACATGACATTGGTAAAGTGACTGTAAATGTAAAGGCCCTTTGGAGGGGGTGAAGAGATACAAAGGTGCTTGGAAAATTACATTTGAAAGAAATTACCAATGGCTTCAGTTAGATTATATGATATGATTGTGATTGCACAGGAGTGTCGTCAGTGGGTTGTCAGACCCAAGAAGTCTTTAATGCCTGTGTGCCTCTTTCCCCGAGTGATATAAATTGGTGTGAAGCCCCTTAAGCTTTTCTGTACTAATTAACCGTGCTTCAATACTACTCACCTCTCAGCAAATCAGCATTGCATTTTAGGTAATTAAGTTTAGCATATCTCCCTGCAGTGAATACTGGCTTCTGGGAATCTTTCCTGAGGGCATCTTTTCCATAAATTTTGAAGCTATTTTTGAAAAAAACATCTTTCTTCAATATGCATGAGTATCTGAAAAGGAACATAAGTGCATATTCAGAGTGACTCACCTCTCTTAGTGTGTATAGTAGAAACAATTCACTGTAATATCAGTACAGGTGATAAATGCTAAAAATAGTCTGAAGAGTTTCACTATATGTAATTGTAATTACTTTCAGTCTCATGTTTATTATGGACTACACAAATCACTTCTTGTGATAATCTGTTACTCGTTCTTCAAAGTGATACTTCTAATTGTGTTTTGGGGTTATTTTCACTACAGTTATACTTGCCAAGAAAAAAACATTTTAAAATAATGTTGCTTTTTATTTGAGAAATATAATACTTCCTTAGAAGAAGAGAGAAAGATGAGTTTAATACAAAAGGCAGCTGAGTCACAAACCACGAAAAACATGTTTTATTTGTGTTTCTCATGAAAATCCTGCCACGAGGCACAGATTGCACCTGATTGTTGCATTTCACATGTGAAAGAGAATGCTGTAATTCTGCCTCAAAGAATAGAATGTGTACAAGCTGTAGATGTAGCAAATAACTGTTTCACACATACAAGGTCTGTGACATGAAATCATCTTTTCTTCCTGTACTAAGCAGAGACAGAAGAGTGAGGGATAGGGATAAGTCTCTGGGTCCTTTCTAGGTGACCCCATCTGATCCAGGAGACATGCTACACGGACATTGCTTTAGCTCAATATTTATTTTCCTGATTTGCACTAGTAAACACTCTCTTCTATTTCAGGTTACCTCACAGTAGTTCTGCATGTCACTGTGGAGTAAATGGTGAACATTACATTAGACCTTGTGGTCTATATCTTCCTTACTGCAAAACATGAGGAAAAAAGTAGCTGTGAAGACGATAAGGCTGCAAGAGGAGGAAACAAGTGGAAGGTAAGGCATGATCTGCTGTGTAACTGAGGATGAAATAGCCATTTGACACACGGAAAAATAAATTTAGATTAGAAGCACACAGCTTTAACATGTGAGCTTAGTCAAGCAAGAAGAAAAGCCTGCTGGTTTTCTAGAATATTGTAATTCAGTTGCTAACAGTGAAAATGCACAAATTAGGGACATTATGATTTCCTGAAAATGTCTGGCTCACTGAAAGCAGGGCCTAAACAAAACAATGCGTCTGCAGGTTTTAAAAGCTCTGCCTTTAGAAATGGGGGAGAATTACAAGACTTTACTTTGGAAAGGCATGCTGACAGCTGTAAGAAGCCAATGTTAACAGTACTATTAAAATCAGTGTAACTGACTGTGTGAGTAGGGCAATGGGATTTGGTCCTATACTCTTGCTTAGTAAACATCAGCGTCCCTTAGATGAATATAATACCGACTAGTGAATGACATGTTAAAGCCTTATTAAAATTATCTGTGTTTGAAAGGCTGTTGCTTTAAAAAGGAAAGCAAATGGCTCAAATGAAATGTGGGATGCAGGAGGAGAGGAAATCAATAAACCAACAAACTATCGATGATGTGGAAATAACTTCTTTATGTTTTCCTGTTTCTGTAGTTTATAGTTAGCATTAGTACATCAACTTAACAGCTTTGTGCAAGTGAAGAAAACGAAATCCAAACTCAGAGACTGTTGTGATGAGTTGCCTTTTCTTCATTGAATTCTCCTTCCTTCTACGAAACTTTTTTTTTTTTTTTTTTTTTTTTTTTTTTTTTTTTTAAGTGAGAACTACATAAAAGTTGGTTACTGTTTGAGTTTTATTATTTTGTTGGCTTTTTTTGTTGTTATTGTTTTCTGCATTATGTTAATAATCTCATTTTATTACCAGAGAGATTCCAAAACTGAATTTCAGTGTTCCTGATGACTTTCCATTTAGCATTTCTATTTGTAAAGAAGAGAAAGATTTAAAAAAAATGTACCCAAAGTCATTCATATACATCTGATTTTTTTGGCTACTTATATGTACTTTATGTCACCTTGAATTTATGTTTCAGGACATAAAGATGGATGGGATGGGATGGGATGGGATGGGATGGGATGGGATGGGATGGGATGGGATGGGATGGGATGGGATGGGATAGGATAGGATAGGATAGGATAGGATAGGATAGGATAGGATAGGATAGGATAGGATAGGATAGGATAAGATAGGATAGGAGTTCAGTTGGAAGGGACTTAGGGATCATCTAGTCCAGCTGCCTATCCACATATTAGAGTATATTATTGAGGGCATTGTCCAAATGACTTAAACACTGGCGGGCATGGGGCATTAGCCACCTGCTGGGAAGCCTGAATTTTGTGAATTTGTGTATCATCCTTGCACAGGAGCTATGCTAATCTCTATATCATTCCAGTTTCAGTGCATATGCTACTGAAGGAGCACAAAACAAATCTAGCATTTAAATCCATCCTCCATTGTAAATTGAAGTGAAATGGCCTACAGCTCTTCATCTTCCACCTAGCCCCTCGGTAGGCAGAAATTTATTTGACTTTGGACCAGTTCATATGAAGACTTTCAGAGCTGGCATGCAAGAGCAGTGCAAAATGATTAATGTGAGGGAATGGGTGCCGAAAACTTGCCGAGGATCTGAGGTGCAAGAGTGCCAGGCCTGCTTAATGAATAGGAATTAACAGTGAGGATGCCAAAGAGTGGGAGTATATAACTATCTGTAGGGACAAAATATCTACATGATATTGCTGTGAGGTCAATAGAGTTGTCACAGGGAAGATATGCTCAAATAAACAAAAAATGGCTACTCCTGAATTCATTGTTTCTAAACATAGCCAGTTTTTTTTCTGCCACAACTATAGCTTTATTTATTTATTTATTCCTTTAACCTTTGTAGTCTTTGGGGCTCTTAAAATTTTTGTTAGAAACCTCCAGAGCAAAATCTAGCAATACCTGAAAGATTTCATGAGCTGTCATGGCAAGATTAGATGGTCAGTGGATTTGCAGATGGACTAGACATTTATGTTCTGAAACTGCTAATGGGGTCTTGTGAATAAAGCAGCTGGATGAAAAAAAAAATGATTATATCAGAATAGAATGCCTGAGTAAGCTAATTAACTAGTCATGACTGATATTTTTTATTTTTTAAAATAGCAGGTAGGGGACTTACTTTAAGTCTAAAGAATGTGCAGAGTATAGTTCAAAAGTAGGATTTTTTGCAGTCAATTTAGCTTACTTCACTACACACAAAACATTTGACAGCAGATCAATGTCCTTTCATATTTATTCACCTTGATAGGTATTGATTCTTATTTTTCACCAACTATTTATTTCTATAGAATGGCCATGATGTATAAGGCCAGGTAGAAAAAGCTCACCATTAGGTGGGCTGACCAAAATCAATAAAGCCATGGCTGCAGTCATCATCTGAGGCCCTGGATCCCCTGTTTGAAGTGCATAGGCACTGGTTATAAAGTCTATGGTGTTGTGTTGCTTTTTATATTCCTGCTCTCTAAAAATAGTGTGTGGATAACTGTGGGTGTATTCTATAAATATTCACATTACATTAAAAATCTTTGTTTTGAAATTCTGGATTTCAAAATTCAGAGGGTAACTCAGTTACATAAGTAGTGGCGATACTTTAAAATGTATACAAATGCAAGGAATACGCACAATATTGCAAACATGAGCACATATTTTTACTTCATTCCTGAAGAAGAGGCAAAAATAGAAATGAAAAAGAAACAGTTCATGGTAGTTGGTGGCAGCAGTAGAAGTGTTGGGATTAATTGAAAAAGGGTAAGTCATTTTACAAATAAGCTTCACATTTTTAGATGCACTAAGCTGGAAAGTAATTGAAATCTATGGAGTATAGATAAATGCGAATTTTTTATAGCTGACGTGCTGACCCTACAGAATGGAAATCTTGTCATAGCTTAATTGAGGTTGACATTTTACACTGTGCTTCATCACTAGCAATTCAAGAATCTGATCCACAAGTGATTGCACCAGTTGGAGTCTTTCCATTGCTTTCACTGATCTCTGGATTAGACCTATGCTGCAGATGCATCTCCCTTCTGTCTGAAGGATAATTTAATACTCAGTTGTCAGAGCAATCAGAAAAGCCTTAGGCAAGGTTGGAAAAGAGCATCTACAGCTGGACAGAGACCTTGAGATGTGAGTGGTATAATGATTTTTAAAACCACCAAGTTTTTAATCAGACTTAAAATTTGAATAAATGTATTTCTTTATTGCTAACTTGTAGCAGCCAATTTGTCTTAGAAAAAGTAAAACTTTGTCCTGTGCATTGAGCCAGATCAGGATCTTTTGCTTAAGTTGTATCCTACAATAAATCCCATTAGGGTAAATGTGAACTATTACTACTTTCCTTCATATATGAATTGCATGTTTTCTCTGAGGAAGCACAGATTTGTAAGAGTCACTGACCTTATCTGTTTACTTACACATCTTAAATATGAAGTATAGAATAATCACTTGACATCCAAGAGGTTTTTCACATGTGAACAGTTATGCAGGGCCTAAAAACTGGGTGATGATAGGGTAAGGACACCCATTAACTTTCAGAACAGAGACAAGATACTCAGTTTTGACTGAATAAAGATTATTATTAGCAAATCTCAAAATTTAAGTGTTTATTCATTTCAGGAAAAAGAAAAATGAACACTTTTCTCTGAGACTCATTGCTGGATGCAGCAATTTAATTCTTTCTAGGACAAGAAAACAAATGCTTCTACAAGAAAATGTAAGATAGCAGCTATTACTGTATACCTAGTCATTGTCATTCTTCTACTACATAGCGGACACCTACATTCTTCTGATGTGTCTTCGAATAAATAAAGGATATCAAAATAAGCTGCTTAGTTTTATACAACAAAGTGACTTTTAAACTCATTAACTCTTGTTCTTTCCAACAGAGCTTTTAATGCATTCACCTTACCTTAGCTATAAAATATATTCTTGATACTGTCCTCTAAGTAGATTAGTTCACAAAGATAATATCCCAAAAAGTCATTTTAGTTGCTGTTGGGAAAAAAAATAATTTAGTTTAATTTCTTGTGTCTCCAAATTCTTCCCATCTCTCTGTAACTGTATAGCATTATCACTATTCACTATTCTGTCTATTCTCGCATAGAGAATTGAAACATCATTTGAGTTTCCTCTGAGGATGGATTAACAAGATCTGCTGTGACATGACTTGATTAATTAATGAGTCTAGAGTATTCTTTGGTCCTTATGTGCTGTTCTTGAACTTCTTAGATGGGAAAACTCTAACCTTCAATTTTTTAGAAGCCAACTGGGTAAAGCAAAATTCTTGTATGACCTTCAATAATAATAAAACTGAAAATCCATTATAGAGTCTACCTGAGTAGTTGTACATATTCAAGGTGATTTCATTCTTTCTTTTTTCATATTTGAAGAATTAAAGTGTGCATGGTTGAAGTACAGAGTACATAAAAGTACTTCACAGAGTTTTTAAAATATGTAGATAGCTCTGAAATTAATGCCTCCTATTTATTTCCATGGAAACAACAACAGGTTCAAAGAGCACAATAACGGTCTTTAATAGAGCAAATTCTCAGCTACAAAATGGTATTTTTCAAAATAGTCAACACTGTTAGCTCTGCATTTTCATCAGCAATGAACAAGAGCAACATGCCCCACTCATAAACATCTACATCAGTGGAGGTGAAGCACTGTCACTACCACCACTGCTGAAATGTACCACCCACCACCTTACTGTGTTCACATCCACTCTTTGGTCTCCATAAATGTTCAGGAAGTGTTAATGAATGTCAGTGGCTGCCATTTTTTTCCACATGGAGGAACTCAGTGACACACTTTTGCTTAATAAGCACTTCCATGTTAGATTCTGTTCTGTCAGACTGCCCTTCTGCTGCCCGTTGTCACACAGCAACAAAATGTGATGAAATATTGGTGGGAAGGTTCAACCTCTACTGCCATACCACCAACATCCGCCTCTGATGTCATGGGCCAACATAGTAAAATAGCAGGTATTACTTTCAGTGCAGCCCTTGTATGACTTGAAACCTCTCTACTTTTATTTCAGTGGTTTTCAAAAACTGGAAATCTGTGTGAATTCTGCATTACAGAAAGTCATATCACCCTGCACACACACCCCTAATGAAATGAAGAAGGTTCAAAGGACAAATACAAGATTACAGCTTGCACATCCCATCCGTTGACTCTGTTTTAAAAACTTTGTGACCAGGTGTGGAGAGCCACCTTTGTAATATACATGTGAGATATACATTTAAATGGAATGAAAAACCCATGAAATTGCTTCCATTTTACAGATGGCATGCTAATAAGACATTCAGATCCAAGCAGCAAAATAGGTTCCTCTAAAAAAATCTGATTGATTTGGAAGTCCAAAGCTTGGCTCCTACTAATAGCACTTTTTTAATTATTATTATTATTATTTTTTTTTTACAACATTGAATTGTGATCACTGTGAAACTAAATTGCCTCAGAACTATGGGAATTAAATCAAAAAAATCAAAATCACTGGTGTTGTGTGGTTCTGTCATCATTGTTATTTTCCATAGCAGTTGACAGTCCTAGCTAGATAGAAGGGATTTTAACAGGAAAGGGAACTGAAGAAATTTCACAGCAAGGAATATCTGACTTCAAGCAAATGGAAGCAGGGTAGTTAATCATTCACAGACTACAGATCAAAACCTACTGTGTAAGACTTTCTGGAGGCTGTATTGTAGATAAGCAGTTTTCTCACTTTTTACAGCTATAACAGAGAACATGTAAAATAAATGATAGTGTGAGCACTTTAAGCACTGACCTGTTCAGTGAAGAACAGGCAGAAAGACCGTCATTATTTTCACTAGCTATATTTTGAGCACAACTTGTTTGAATAAATGCATTCTGTCAGAGCTCCCCAGATTCTGGAAACCACAAACTCGAAATCACAGGCAACAGAACCACGTTGTTTGCAATGCTTGAGAGGGCAGAGCTAATAAATAGGGATAAGAGTGCTCTTGAACTATCAAACACCTGCAAAATTATACCACTTATACCACTTATTCTACATCTATGCTGTTGTATTAGCGTATGCATGAACTTAAACTCTCTGTCCACATAGCTTCTGAACTGAATTTGGAATTGTCCAAATAGGCTCTAGCAAGGGGAGATTGAGTCGTTGAAAGGTTGTGGACACATGCTTAGAATTTTTTTTTGCAAGGCACTGACAGAAGTAGTAAAGATGTAGGTTTAGAGACCTGATAATGTTATAAATCAGATTGTTTGTGAAGCTTTGTTGGCTTTGTCTTTGACTCAGCTCAGTGGAATCTCTCAGGATCTATAGTTTGCATGTTGGCGCTGAGGATGGTAGATACTTTTCTACTTTTTCTTCCCTCCCCAGCCAAACAAAAATAAATCCT